TTCCACCCCGTTCCTATATAACTGCACTGGCCTGTGGAGAATTTATTGAAAGCTACGTATGCTCGCCACCTCGTCTCCTGATTACTATTATGGGAATTTTCGCAACTCTTTTACTAGATGATATCAATCAGGCTCCTACATCAATCAACTTCACGCTGAATGAATAACAACCCCGTTCGCATCTCTTTCTATAAGTACTTCTGTGTAGAAGGCCTGACGGCAGTATTCGACGCAGCTTCTGCCGTAAGAGGACGACCACTTTTGGGAGTTTCCTACCACTAAATTTGAAACGTAGTGTAGTCTGATGTTTGGCAGAAAGGGTGAGAAGGATCTGCTAGGCTGATAGCATTGAGGAGGAGAGGGCTCAGTGTTGACGAAAGTCTCTTTCGCCAGAACGGCCACCTTGATCGATTCAGTGCTAAGATCATGGCCGTAGGCTTATTAAAGCCCCCAAATTCTGACGTCAGGAAAGAAAAGGCTTCCCATCAGGGTGTCACTTCAAGGGGACACAAGAGTGAAGTTTGAAGAGGTCAATTTGACAGTGAATCTGTACTTACCTCAGGAACCAAGCCAGTCTCCCGGTAATTCCGGATGACCTCACGCAGAGTAAAACCCTGCGGATACAACAGGAACACGTCCGGATTAATTGGCCTTTTCCAGTCAGTATCGTTTATTTGGGCCATCTCTGCAAAGCTGAGTTTACGAAATCCACCCTTCTTGCTGATGAGACGGAGTGAAATTGTGTCGTATGTGGTTACTGGGAGATGCAGATCTACACAGTAACGAAGACTCAGGTCGTAGGTGCCATCCCGTGTCCTTTCACTGATACTAATCCAGCTAGCATTGCATATTACTGATGAAACTCGAATTTTCACTGTTTTAACAGCAATTTCCACCCATTCGCTTGTGAAGTAGACATCACAGAGTATCTTTATTATTGCCAGTAAGGCTAAAATGAGGATCCACGTACGATGACACCGCACGTATCGAGTCATCACGGTGTAGCCTCTTCTTGTTTTTTTCCTGGCAAGTTCTAAAAATGGAACCCCTGTCTTCAACGCGATGATATATATAGGGGCATTATTGCGCCCTGAGAGTTGCATAACCCGTTGAAGGGTGCTTATCGGCAGGTAAACCCCAGCCAATCAGAGTTGGAACAAGAGCTGTTTATTCAGACGGCGATCCAACGCGTCTAAGTGCAAACAGAAGCCTCCGGCAACTATTCTCACTGGCTGCTGACTCAAGTTCCCTCTGAAGATCTGTCGTTGAGTCCTAATTTAACTGACGATATGTACATGAGACATCAGGCCAGCGCGACAGCTCGAAAGCCCCACATAGCATCCGAAATAAACATCAGGCTGAGGGTTGCATTCAATACTCCACATCGGTAGGAGGGCATGAGGTGTTTCTGAATCCACAACATTTCCTGACGCATAGCGTCCTCCCAGTTTAAGAGGGGATTTCCACACTTGTTTGTCTGCATAACTGAAAGTGCTACTTTTGGGTAAATAAACCGACCGCACTCTTAAAGCCTCAGGGGGTTTTTTCCATTCAAAGTAAATTTCGTTTTAAAGAAAGCAAGTAATATGGAGGAATCCCCGATGACCGTCGGACTGGCTGCTAGTGGAACGAACTGCAGCCCTGCCTTCTCTCACGAGGTGGAGGGGCTGTAAAAAGTGCTCTGAACAAATGCTGGATTTATGACATCTGCGCGCAGGCCATGGCTCGAAAACTGCTTAACTGGTGGTCGAAACCAAAACACGAGACAAAATACTCTCTTCTTTCCTCCTCCTCCTCCTTCTCCTCCTCCTCCTCCTCCTCCTCCTCCTCCTCCTCCTCCTCCTACCCACCACCCCTATGTCGCAAGAGCGAGTCCGCCCAATCTGGCGGACTGGAATGTTTGTTCCCAGGAGCAACCGGGAACTGGCTAGCTACAAGGTGGAACTCGACAATAAAAGCGAAGAGACGAGTTCCGGGAAGCCGTCTTGAGGAAGGAGACACGATCGCTGGAACAAGAGCTTTATTAGCCCGACGTTTCGGATTTCTGCTCGAACCCATCATCATAAACAACAGCAGATACTGGTGATTCACGCACAAGGGGCTGCTGTATTTATAAGATGCAGTCGTCATGCTACGGCAGGTCTGTAAAAGTTCACGGGTTCCCCCTTCATCCGGGATCGCTGCGCTTGGTGTGCTAATTGTTTGATGGCCGAAATTCACGTCATTAAATTGCTGCAATTTCATCACATGTGTTGAATGTAGGTGTGATAATGGCTCGACCACGTTATAAACCGACCCTGGCGTTGGGAACAGCGTTTACCTGTGCGCTCCCCGCGTGGCTAATTACTTCGCCTAGACGAAGTCTGAGCATCGACTGCGGAAGGGGAAGGTCATTACACCTGCTACTGGACTGGGGGCCAGTGAACCATGACTCGAGATAGGCCAAACTGCACGGAACCCAAATTTTGGCCAGTCCAAGCTTCGAGTTTAACTTTGTAGGCGGTAATGCGTGTGGGTTTGTAGATGGTCAGATGGTGTATCACTTGGATGTACCACCACGGTCTGGTTGGGAGAAAAAGAGGGTGCGATGGTTGTCGTGCAAGTCGACTATCATTATAAATGGAATTATGCGCATGTTTCCGTACCTGCTCTCACCCTGCTGTGAGGCAAACGCAGATCAACCCCATCAACTGGGAAGGCCTCGTCCGAGACTGTCTGTTCTGGCGGAGGACAATAAGGACGGACACGAGGAAATACCACATCGCGCCCAACACTCAAACAGCCCCGACCTGCCCACGCTGCCAGCTGACGTTCCGGGCACCAGTCGGGCTTGTAGGACATCTTCGTACCAACTGTAGAACCTAGACTACACCCACTGCTGTCACATCGTCCAACTCTGCCTCGTCCCTAACTCATCACGCATCCTGTCGCCCAGTGCGTCCACCATCGGCAGCTCCACCACGGCCAAGCAACATTGGCACCGACGACTTTTCTGTTCATACTGTCCCCGTACATTCATCTTAGTCACATCGGCCTGGTCGGCCAATTGCGAATCTGTCGCACAGAAACTCGCGAACTTGTGTCCGGGCCACCCACATGCACTCGCCGCATCGGCCTCAACTGCCCTCAATGCACCCTCAAATTCACTCGCCGCAGAAGCCTATTAGGTCACATGTGGATTCACGAAAACCTGCGGTAGACAACCACCGGCTAAAGCACACCACCACATCTTCCTCCACCTACATCACGCAAAAGCATCCTCCATCACATGCATCCAACTGCCACCTCCCACGCAAGTGCGGAGTATGCGTCTCGGCTTCGTCTCCATGCTGCTTCTTTGCTGCATGTGTGATACAAGTTTGAGTCTATCGCGGTGCGCCGATCGCCATGGCTTGGGAGGCTGCTGACTGATTTTCGATGGCCTTAAAGATTCAATTATATTTCATGGAAACCATGCATAAAAATATGCATTCTTTTGCTCAATCAGTAGACAATCACGTCTTCTGTCTTTCAATTTTACAATCGAATTAAGAATATAATTCGGTTTTATAGAACTTTTCCAATTCCGGAATAATTTTGATCCGCACCTGCCGTTACTCTTGCATTCAGGGTTCTAAAACTACAAGCCGTATAATTTCCGCGTAGGGAAAACCATTCAATTATCTACGGTGTTACGAGAAGACCATATGGGTTTCATAAAGTTAAACAGCGGAGTAGACTCACATTGTTAACTTTACAACCTACGTTGGTAAATGCAGACACAGGACGTTTTATGAAGGGCCATTTCATGGTATTAAAAAATCTCACAATTTAGAACTTCTTTAAAACCGAATTATACCCTTCTTTCGAGTGTAAAATTGAAAGAAGACGTAAGTGTCTACTGAATGAGCAAAAGAATAAATATTTTATGCGTGCTTCACATGAAATAAAATTAATATGTCAAGGGCATTGAAAATCGACGAGAAAATGCATGCTACATAAGTAGTCATTCTTTACGTAGTATGGATTTTAGATGCAGCCGGAAAGAAGTGTGTTCGAAAGCCTCGACTGCATCGTATAAATACTGCAGCCTCCTGTGCACGAGTCACCCTTTTCTGCCACTGTCTCTGATGATGGACTCAAGTGAGAATCCGAAACGTCAGGCGAATAAAGCCCTTGTTGCAGCGATCGCTTCTTCTTCTGATCAAGTAGTTCCTGGAACTCGCAATTTCGCTTGTATCGGCAATACTCCCATAGTATTTCAGACTCGTTTGGGTGTCGGCTTTTGAGTACACTTCATTTCGACTGAGTATAAAATGACTGCTTATGTAGCATGTATTTTTCACATTGATTTTTGATGTTCTTATGAATTCAAATAGTCGTTTGTGGTAAACACACATAAAAGTATGCCTTCTTTTGCGCGTTTGGCAGAAAATAACGCTGTCTTTACCTTGTATGTCCAAAGGAAGCGTATATTTGGGTTCTGAAAAAGTTTCTTAATTCCTCAATAATATTAGTCCAGATCAATGGCTACATTATCATTTAGCGATTTCATTCTACAAGATGAATGCATTCCGCACAAAACAATCATATACATCTTTATGCCTTTAAGAAGATACCGTGTTGAGTTCATAAAATTTTATTATTAATGTAGACTATGCTGTGCATTTCACGCGGAACATTGGTGAACGGAGATGTGTGACACGGTATGTATGGACATCGCACGGTCTTAAAAATCTCATAACAAGAAACTTGTTCAGCCCTAAATACACGTTTTCTTTGCGCACACAATGCAAAGACAAGGTTATTTTCAACCAAAAAAGTAAGCGAAAGCATATTTTTGTGCGTGTATTCCACAAACAAACTACTTGAATTTATAAGATCATCAAAAATCAATGTGGAAAATACATGCTACTTAAGCAGTAATTTTTACTGAGTGTGGTTGTTATAGTAGGTCGAAATTAAGTGAATTCAAAGGCCGACATCCCAGCGAATCCGAAATACGATGGGAGTTTGTTGCTTGATAGGCAACATTACAACCCCACCCAAGTAATCCTTCCTAATCGAAAACGCATTTCAAAAATTTCGGCCATTTCATCAGATCCGTAGGCAGGCAGGCAGGCGAGGGAACTCTCGGCGCCGGAAGAACGGCGTCTGCCCAACGTGAGGCAGCGGGGCAGCCGTGCAGCGCCTTCAGTGAGGCCATGTCTGAGGGGGCCTCGATGATGATTGGTCAGTTTGGACAGCGGAGAACCAGGCTGCAACTGTTACGCACGCACAGGTAGTCGCTAGCGCCTCAACGTTGCAACACGCCTCTGCAGTTGGACCGCTACGGACGCTATGTCAAATACTGCCGCCAGGTCCTGTACATTAAAACCGCGTCTAGAATGTGGAACAACCTGGGCAGTCCGCCTTCCAGCGCAAACTTGATTGGCAGATGCGTCTGATTCGCAGCATCCAATAAAACTGAAACATCGGCTTGTTAATGAGTAATCTGGGATATATCATCCATGTAGAGCCCAACTTCCAGCTCGCTTCTGAGGCCCATCACTATAATCCGAGAGAACGTCAGTTTTAGAGCATGAATTAGAACTCCCCAGTATGATCAGCAGAACACCAGATACAGAGCTCACGTACGTCGAATACAGAAAGACTGATTGGTAGTTTTATCACGAAGACTTGAACCGGAGAGGGCCGAGAGAGACTGAACAAGAAAAGGGAATTGCGAACAGCAGAGCACTTTAACAACGGAGTAAACTGAGACGATCCTCAGCATGGTTTGGTTAAGTACATCCATTCTTTTTGAATGAGCATGTAGGATTTTAATTAGAAGATTTCCTTAACAGAACGAGATTTTTTTTGTAGCAGACTGTGGGGTAGCGGTAGGGTGTAGGACCTCACGTAGTTGGCCAATCCAGCAGTTGCTCTAAAAATCCGTGTGACTGCTAACATCACTCGCGATTCACCGTTCCTTATGATTGAAATCTATTGGGCTTCCTGATTGAATGTAAACTCTCCGGAGCCGGTTTAATAAAAATCCGCCATTTTCGAAAATTGTTTCATATCTTTCTTAAAATTATCGCGCTCCGGAGTTGGACCGCTACAGAGGCTATATCAAATACTTGACTGACAGATGTGCCTGATTCCCGGCATTCAATATGACTGAAACATCGGCTTGTTCTGTGTAATTTGCATTGTTGCACGGTGAAACCAAGCAAAAGTTTGACACTTTAAGTTGTTTCTCTCACTTTGATAAACAATACTGTTTTTCTACTGTAAACGTAAGAACACACCTTCCTCTATATATTGAGGTCATTTCCACTATTTTTACTCGCTTTTGGACTGTTCTACGATTATGAATGCATGCCAGAATGCCCATATAAATACTGATATTTTGCTGAAACCAACAACAAGTAGTGTTTCATGTGTTCAAAACTGGAAATGAGCATTCGTTGGTGGTCATTTATGTGACGTCAAGTAGAATTTTCCAAAGACAAAGAAATTTCAGCCCATTTAAACGAAGGAATCCCTGTCTGCGTTATTACTGTACTTTATGGCACCAAATCGCACAGATCAGCTAATTTGACATTTGAGAATCGAAAAAACCTCTGGTTTTGTTAAAATAACCTCTGTGTTAGCAGATTGATCACCATGGTTAACATAGGACATAAAATGAATTTCCAAGTTCGGCTAGATCTGTTTATTAAAACTCTTGTGTGCAAATTACTATCATTTCAATGAAAAAGTCGCTTTGATGCGTAACCGGGATCTAGGACATGTATTAGCATAGGTAATTGCACAAATATATTCCAACGTCCATTTTCGCTAAAGCTTATTGATATTTTACTTGATATAATTACGCAAACACAATGTCTGCACAAGAAAATGACATTTCATTGAAGGATGTGGATGAGCTAACAAAATGCGCTACTTTAAAGGCGTCTAGAAATTCATTCATCAGTTCCAGTTATCAGATTTCATGAGACAGGTCACGTAGTGTACATCCATTCTTTTGGAATGAGTATGTAAGATTTTGGTTAGAAGACTTCCTTAACAGAATGAGTTTTTTATAGAAGACTTTGGGGTAATGGTAGGGTGTCGGACCCCAAGCAGTTGGCAAATCCAACAGTTGCTCTAACAGTCCGTGTGACTGCAGACATCACTCGCGATTCACCGTTCCTGCTGATTGACATCTCTTGGGCTTCCTGATTGAATGTAAACTCGCCAGAGCCGGTTTAATCAAAATCCGTCATTTTCGAAATTAGCACTTTTGCCTTTTTTTAAATTATCGTGCTCACTTTCTTTGTCATATGACAGCTAGCAATAACACTTTCGGCAATTTATTTGCGACTGCGGAAAAGAAAGATGCACTCATAAGATTGCCTTTTGCAGGTGACGCAGAGAGCAAACTAGTCAGACGGCACTTTACTGCAGTAATCACAAGGGCATTCCCCCCGGCAAATTTACGCGTATGCTTCACAATCTCTCCCCTCCTACGTTTGGGGGGCAAGGACAGACTACCGTTGGAGGCCACATGAATGTGCATTTATTCATTCATTTGCTCCTGTGGAGCGGGATACATCGGCCGCACAACGAGGCGCCTGGTAAAGAAGGTGCGTGAACATATGCCCGCCTGGCTAGACAGAGGTGAGACCCGGTCGAGTTCGAGTTCTATTGTCGCACTGTCAATCGATAGGAATTACCGAGTCGATGGCAAGGAAGCATTTCCGGTTGTCTACCGGACACAAACATGCTTCTCTAAAGGCCTCCGCCAATGAATACTAGGAAAACCGAGGCAGTGGCCATACGGCCAGCGAATCCGATGTTATGCTGTCAGAAAACCCTGACACAAGCGCTGTATCTGCCATGGCCAACGCCAAACCTAAGTGATGACGCCATGCAGCCTCAAACCCCTAATCACGATGATGGGTACTCCGTGTACTCAGTCGAAGAACATTACTCAAAGACTATCTTACCCCCCTCCCCTAGCTCTGACGACTAACACAGCCGACCTTATCATGCGGGCGGCGTGAGGATAATGAGTTTTAATGTCTTAATAGCCCTTGATACATCTATAAAGACTGTTGATTTTGCACATTTTCATTCCTTCCTGTAATTGTAATGGCCTGAGGAAGAATTACCGAAAAAACGTGTTTGCCAACTTGACTTTTGAAAAGAGAAATTCGTGATAATTGTGCGAAATTTACTTTCTGCGTCTTCTTGCGTTCTGCCCTGCATGTTACTCCACTAATAAAACCCCCTCTACTATCATTCAACGTACGACACGATCCAAAGGCTACCTCAAGTTAGTTGGGGTCCTACACCTTACTGTTGCCAAATGTGTAACTGGAAACCCCCTCCTGATCATGACTCATACGCCGTAGGGCAGATCTTGATCCACGAACTCTAACTTGGTCTCGAGTGCTTGGCTTTCTGGGGGGCACAGGGCAGTAACTGCCGGTTGTGCGAGTGAAAGGTGCTTGTTTGCTAGTATTTATTCCGGATGTAGTTTTCGCAATGTATACGGCCTACTTAAACGACTATAGTAGGTTTTATTTGTGTGTCGTAGATACGTGTGTGTCGGGTTTTCTTTCATCAACTGTTTCAGCAGGAACTGCCGTATCCCCTAGGCCGTTTGCTTCTTGATGACTAGAAACACCCTTAGTAAAACAGCCTGTGGAGACACCTCCCGTCATAATACAATGCAGACTGTCTCTAAAGTTCAATAGGAGTGCAGCGGGCCAGACGCAGACAGCGGTTTCACGGCCGCTACCTATCTTCCGTACGTCATGGGCCTTATGAAGTGAAATATACAAACATCGGAAGGAGGCATGTAACCCTCCCCTTTGTGGTTAGGATTTCAGTTTATCTCATTCTTTCTCTAAAGTGCTTAGACAACTATCTACTGCGGTTGTCTCTCTCCTGCGCGCACAATAAATTTGTCGCTTTGATCACAGTCAGACTGAAAAGTAGCCTCTTCTCAGAAGTCGCGCGCAGGAGCCATTGATTAGTCGTTCAGCCCGCGAACGTGGAGCAGTTGACCTTGAAGGTGGGCACTTATTACGATCCCCTGACCTCCAATATGACTTTGACTTCATCCAACATTTAAGCCATAAGAGTCCCGTTTTTCGGTCCTGTAGAATTCATATTTCAATAAGTTCACATAATCGAATTGCCTCTATTTGTTAAAGAATTCAAATGACTGTTAAGCAAGTGTCATAGTTCAAAATTAATCCTGATTCGGTGTCGTTCTGCCAATCAGAGCACGCGGACCACGGTCCTCTGGCTGTCCTATAACCGCTGTCGGGTTGCGACTCATTGGACAGCGGTCACGTAGGGAGAATTAGGGGAGATGCTTTTAGGGTGAATCTCTTCCTTACACTGCATCAATTTGCAACAGTATAGAGAAAGACCCCACGTAATTGTCAGTTGACTGTGGATAGCGTCATATGGGGTTTTATCTCGGCATGCATTTGCAGGCTGTTGCAGAAATTACACTGTCAACAACAATTACTTCTCACGACCTCGAACCTTAACCTAAAATCTGTTATTTTGTGAAATTTACTTTTCGTTTATTGTTTCACTACTACTCTCATTTCCGTTGTCATTAAAATGCTTAGGATAAGACTTTCGGCATATATTCAGGCGATCTTTATATCTCCTTTCATTTTGTCAGCTTATTGTCTAGCGTGCTGTCCCACCCATAACACTCCCTTTACCATAAATCACGTAATGCACGATCCGCACTCCACTGACAGTTAAGTGGAGTCCTTCTCTATACTGTTGCCCATCAATTTAGGATTCCAGGATTGCTCAGAGCAACGGTAAATGAAGCCTTGTTAGTTGGCGGATAACGTTTTCCGCGGTATTCCGCCACTTTGTCTTCTAACCGTTGTATGGCCAACCTACTTTTTATATTAAAGACCGGCCCACCTAAAGGACCGACGGTTGTGTACGTGATAAACCCATTATTTGGGCGCGGTGAGTGGGCTATTCAGGAAACCAAGATAACAGTATCCCAACAGTTGCAAATTAGTAAATAAGAACGAAGTCGCCAGCAGGTAAAAATGCACGTGCTTGTTCTGTGTCTCATTCAAAGTTGTTTCAAGTTCTTTGAAAATGCGTATTTTAACTGATTAAAACAAAACGGACATAAATGTTACTACAGTGGCGTATTTCATGGCTACCTCTGTGTGGGTGTCATGCAGAGGGCCTGTTTGTTATGTAGACCTATTCACTAACCGGCAATTCGTGCGATCGTTATCATAAAAACCGTCAGGGGGCGCTCTACGTTCCTCTCCCCTTGCTCCCAGTCTTTAACTTATGGCTCGGTTTTTGAAACTGTGGGAACTCCATCGAAGTCGGACGTTAGTGTGAATCTTACGTACGCCTACAGCTAACAGTTAGTGAGTCTCCGCTAATGCTATTCTGAGGTTATAATCCAACGCGAGGAGACAGCGGTGCGTGTAGTCCGGGTTCTGCAGTTGATACGAAGATGCCCTACAGTCGGTAATGCGTGTGGCTTTGTAGATCGCTCAGTCCTAACTAACTGCACTCCGCCAGTCCCGGGGCGAGGTCTTTTTAATTAGTGGGGTTGAATTGCAGACGCTTAAGGGAAGTCTTCAGCGTGTGAGACCAAAAGACCCACTGCCCCGTGAAGAAACATCTGCTGTCATTTAGCGGATCTCGTGCAGTTGCGGACAAAGCAACTACGTCAGAGAAACTGGAAGACTGCTCCGGACGCGAATTGCAGAGCACGCAGCAGCAGTGAGGCGGGGAGACGCTAACTGTCAGGTGGCGGCACACTCGACGGGACCCGGCCATATTTACAAATTTCAAGATGCCGAAATCCTCGCATGGTGTGACAACCGCGTGAGCCGCGAGCTGCTCGAGTCATGGTTCTCAGGCCCGCAATCTATCAACAAGCACAATGACCTCCCGGTGGCCTATTCCGTATTGCGATTTTCCCTGGGCAGGAGAATCAGTCACGTGGGGAGGGCGCGGACGAACAATTATGACAGTGACAGTCAGCCAGTTTGCCGATCTGAACTGCTACCTGGAACTCGCCTGTTCGCTTCTATCATCAATTGGCCTCCTTGTCGGCGGGAGCCCGTGCGACATCTCCATAGATGAGTCGTTTTGGTAGCTGCTCATTGTCCATCCGCATAAGGTGGCCGTTCCAACGCAGTTGCAGATGTTTCAGCATGGCAGAGATGCTGAGGATTTCCGTCCACTCCAGTACATCCGTGTCCGAGATCCGGGCCGGCCACTTCAGCCACAATACCCATCGTGGGCTGCTGAGATGGAAATGGTTCATTCTGCGCGCGGGGGCGTTCGTAACGGCAGGCGTCTGTCAGCATGACAGAGCACATAAGGCTGAAGTTGGCGGGTGCGAGGATGCGGCCCCGTTTCACTCCCTTGGTCACTGCGAACGCCTCTGAGGTGTCTCCATTGTCCGTGACTCGTGCCATCATGACGTCGTGGAACTGACACAACATCTGCGTGGATCGTTCGGGCAGTCAAATTTCTGCACGATTTTCCACAACCCTTCCCGATGCACGGTATCGAAAACTTTCGTCAGATCCATGAATTTAGAGTACAAGTGTATCCGCATCTACTGGCACACCTCTTGAATTTGGTGGGCGGTGAAGATCATGTCCGTGGTCCCACGATGACGGCAAAAGCCGCACAGGCTTTCCGGCAGAAGACCCTCTTTTCAATGATTATTCATACGGTTGAGAATAATGCGAGCAAAAATTTTGCCGGCGACGTTCAGCAAGGAGATGCCTCGGTGGTTGTCGCAGAGTTGGCGGTTTCCTGTTCATTTGTATAAATACAGAAGTGTTGCATACTTGAAATCCTGCAAGACCTCTCCTTGACGCCACACCACTTGGAAGAGCGCCGTCAACTATTCACGAGTTGGGGGCCACTGTGCTTGTAGACCTCAGCAGGGATAGCGTCCGATCCGAATGCTTTCCCGCTGGAGAGCTGCGGTACGGTCCGGTGATTTCGTGTAGAGAGAGGGCGGGCGGCCGAGATCCAATTTGGTCACCACTTGCGACAAACAGGCGATGGCAACATCGGAGATGGTGGCGGGGCAATTGAGGACGCCACGGAAGGGCTCAACCCATTGCTGTAGGATCGGTGTCTGCTCAGTCAGGAGGCTACTGCCGTCGGCGCTGAAGAGGGGAGTGCTGTCTTTCTTCGGCGGACCGTAGACAGTTTTGATCGCGGCAAAGAAATTCTTCCATTCGTTACGTCCGCGTATCCTTGAATCTCCTCGGCTGTGCGAGCTGTCCAGGCATCCTGCATCTCGCGGTGCCGCTGTTGCACAATGCGGCTACTACAGTAGAAGGCTGGTTTGCTGTCGTCAGTAGGGTCGTCGACGTAAACTTTCTGCAGAAGATACTTCTCGACCAGTAGATTGCTGATGTTAGTGATCCTGATGTTGGCGATGTGCGCGACCGAGGACAGCAGTCGACTAGACTGTGTTCCAAAGTTGACACCATCGGTTCTTCGCGGCGGCTTCAGCGACTGGAAGGTTGACTAGCCGGTGAGCTGATTTGTCGCTGAAATTGAGAAAGTGAGCAGACCAGGACAATAACGCAGTATTCAGTTTACTCGGAAGTCGCTTACCCTGAGGTCTCCTGCCTGACAATAGGCGAATCTTCATTTAAGAGGATGAGGATCGGTCCAGCCGTCGGCACATGGAATCGCCTTTGTTACCAGCACCTCCCGCTGGTCTCGCCTCCGGACGAGGACATTGTCCAGCAGGTGCCATTGGCGCAACCGAGGATGCATCGAAGTGGCCTTCTTTCCCATCGGCGGGCGGAAGAAGGCGTTTGTCAGGATGAGTCTGTGTTCTGCGCAGGTTCGTAGAATGAGCAGGACCCAGCACTTATTTCCAGACACCATAGTCTGTGCTGACGCTGGCAATGAAGTCACCAAGAACAACCAATTTATCCGTCTTCGGCACGGTCGCCAGGAGTGCGTGCAGGTCTACGTGGAATGTGTCCTTGCCGCGTCGAGGCTGGTCATCGGCAGAGCGTAGGCGCTGATTATGGTGGCGAATTTGCCCCCCCCCCCCAGAGGCCTGACGGAGACTCGTCAGGAAATTGTTTATGCTATGCGGCGCACAGATACCTGGGAAGTACGCAGATTCTTGTAGAAGTTGTCTCTTTCGGCGTCAAGTCCGTTCATCAAGGAGCGTAGACGTTGATAATGGTGGCGAATTTAACTCCCCGAAGAGGCGGACGGAGGCGCAAAACGTAATCGTTTATGTCCCGTGGCAGACAGGACAGTCCTCCTCCCCACGATGTCATTCCGAATGGCAAAGACGACGCCTGCAACTCGTTGTTTTTCCTTGTGTCGACCGCTCCAGAAGTAAATGTGGCAACGATCGGATGAAGGCTCCCAAATAAACGGCGCCAGTCAAAGGTGCCTGTCTTATAGGAAAGATGGTAATAGGGCTTTTACATGAGGAGGCCTATGTATGCTTATGCGTCGCAGGCACTGAACTCTAGTTAATCTTGTTCGGATAAACGGGTCTGGCCGATTGCAAAGATGTCCACCTTATAGCGATACACTTTCTGCACATTCAGTAGAAAATGACGTCTTCTTCCAATTTTATATTTGAAGGAAGGGTATAATTTGGTTTTTTAGAACTTTTCCAATTCCGGAATAATTTTGAACCCCACCTGCCGTTACACTTGCATTCATGGTTCCCAATCCACAAGCCTTATATTTTCCGCGTACGGAAAACCATACTTTCCTCTACGGTATTAAGAGGAGACTATATGGGGTTCATAAAATTAATCTGTAGTTTTGAGTCACATTGTTAACTTTACAAGCCACGTTGGTAAATCCAGAGACATGACGTTTCATGGAGAACCATTTCACGGGCATTGAAAAACATCACAATTAAAACCTATTTAAAAGCGAAATTATACCCTTCCTTAGAGTATAAAATTAGAAAAAGACATAATTTTCTACCGAATGAGCAGAAGAATGAATATTTTATGCATGTTTTCCATGAAATATAATTGAATATTTATGGGCATCGAAAATCACTGAAAAAAATGCATGCAACATATGTAGTCATTTTTTACGGAGCATGGTTTTAGATGCAGCCGGAATGAAGTTTGTTCGAAAGCCGGCGTCCTGCGGCAACTGAATTATTATACTGTACGATGATTGGTTCCCCAACCATACTTAATTAATCCTTTTGAAACGGAAAATAATTTCGGAGTGTCTGTTGACATTTCATGAGTTCACCCACATACTGTAGAGCCCCGCTGTCACAGCTCCATCTGTGACAATCTCGCGCAAGTCAGGATTGCTTTATGCGTAGTGCCTCTCAGTCGATAGCTGATTGGTTACCCGGTCTTTGCGGGGTGATGGCGCAGACAAATGGAGGGATGCCTATCATCATTCTGGACCTAAAGGTTTGTAGCAGTCTGCTCTGCCAGGATGAGCAAACCATGACCCTCAAGACCTGATGTGCGATGGCGGTTCTGCGGCACGTGTTTCCCTGGCGGTAGATGCACTCGTGCCGCAGCTGGGTATACAAGTCGTGAGCAAGGCCGGCCAGATGCGGTGCTGTTGTTGTTGCTGTTGTTGTTGGTTAAGACCCTGGTCATACATTCGTTGCGAACGAGGGGGTATGCTGGTACACCTAGGTGCGAGCGCGGCCGTGTCAGCCACCTGCTCCCTCCCTCACCGTCGGTTTTCTTGACTATGTCTTGGCACCGGGTCCAGACGGAGCAGGAGGAGAGAGTGCGGTGGATGCAGTGCAAGTCTACTGTCATTGTAAAGGAAATCAGGAACGGGTCACCCTTGAGCAGACGATAGACATCGTCGGTCGGGGTGCTGGTGTGTCCAGCTGTGGGGTCACGTGATGGCCGCAATTGTTCGCTCGCTGTCTCGCAGGTGCTGAGTACGCTTAGTGTCCATTGACAGGAATCCAACTCTCACGCGTGGCTCCCCGAAGCTAGCAGCCACATCCTTGCACCCGCCTCAGTCGTCGGGCTAAACCAGGTGAAGTTATCAGTGTGTTTATCTAAACACACGGTAATTCTACCTCCCCACCAGCCAGGTCAAGGGCGTGTGTTTCTGTGATGCGACAGATTATCTGTGTTGTCTCTACGAGTAAGGAGTGGCACACCCAGGTGCATGTTCGGCCGCGGCAACTGCCTGCCTCCTTCCTCACCTCCTCGCAATCCGCAGATGATGGCTCTCCACCCGAAGCGAATACGCGGGGAGGGGGAACGCAATGGTCCAAATCACGTAATGCGGCCACAGAAAATAGACATGGCATGCGTCTGGATATTTAAATAATACCGATTTTGAAGGAAGACGGTTTGCGCATGAATTAGTTCGTGGTTATAGCGGGCTTGCATAGCATCTATCTCACACGCTACTCCTTCAATGCTGAAGTTTGTTACACAAGCAGCCAATCCGACGGTCATCGGGGATTCCTTCATATTACTTGCGCACTTGAAAACGCAATTTACTTTTTTGGAGAAAACCCCCTGCGGACTATTAAATGCAGTCCTCATCCTGATGCCCATTTCGGATGTTTGGTGGAGCTAGCGAGCTTGCTTGATTTCTCATGTATATCTCAGCAGCTAAATTAGGACTCAATGACACATCATCAAAGGCAACTTGAGTCGGCAGCCAGTGGGAGCTTGCCGGGAACTTCTGTTTGCACTTCGACTCGTTACATAAACAGAACTTGTCCCAATTCTTATTGGCTAGGTTGTTACCGCCGGTAGGCATCCTTCAGCATGTTTTGTATCACACAGAACTCAATAAAGCCCCTGTATAAATCATCGCGTTGAACACGTGCGTTCCATTTGTTGAGCTAAGAAGAGGCTATACCGTGATGACTGGATGCCTGCGGTCTCATCGTACGTGGATCCTCATTTTTGCATTATTAGGAATAACGAGGATACTCTGCGATGTTTTCTTCACAAGCGAATGGGTAGCAAACGCTGTTGAAACAGTGAAAATTCGAGTTTCATTAGTAATATGCAATCTTCGCTGGATTAGTATCAGTGAAATTACACAGGACGGCACCTACGACCTGAGTTTCCGTTATTGTTTAGATTCGCACCTCCCAGTAACCAGATACGACACACTCCCGCTCGATCTCATCAGCAAGACTGGTGGAGGTCGCAATATTACCTTTGCAGATATGGCACAAATAGACGATACTGACTGGAAAAGGCCAATTAATCCGGACGTCTTCCTGTTTTATCCGCAGGGTTTTGCTCTGCGTGAGGTCATTCGGAATTACCGGGAGACTGGCTTGGTTCCCGAGGTAAGCGTAGGTTCACTGTCAAATTAATGTCTGTTTTATTGCCTCTAAAGTACCTAGTGCTAATTGGGTCTGCATCACATTTCGTTACCTGGCACACTGTTTGGGTCTTAAGTTCAAGCGGAATGTGGGCATTAAAAGTAAGATAAGCCGAAGAGGGATACTGAAACCTTTAGAGGGGAAAGTAGCCGAGGCTGAAACGGAGTAGGCAACCTGATCTATGATAAATTTGTTGCGAGATTGAAGTAAACCCAGAATTTCCGCAGAAGGCAGGAAACATGGGGCAACAATACCCATGGCCTTAAAAGCAAACCTAATCCTCAGTTTAATTATAAACCTAACGCTAAGCCTAATCGTAAACCTATCACAAACGCTAGACCTTATCCTATGCCTAAAATTAATCCTGGACCAAATCCTAAACTTAACCTTTCCCCTAAACTTTAACATAACCTTAGACTTAAACTAACCCTAACAGCAAGCTTATCGCCAACCTACAGGGCAATCCAAACCCCAACTCATGCTTAAACTCTTAAACGCAGCACAAAACTTAACCTTAAATTCAATTCTCAGTCTGACACAAACCCAAACCCTAAAATTAACCATAACTTTAAACCGAAACATCAGATTGCTTTATTCCGTTTTAGCTTTGGCTACTTTTTCACCCATGATTTCAGCATCCCTCTTCGCCTTACTTTACTTTCAATGCCCACATTGTGCACACACTTGGTACCAGTACAGCGTAACCGATCATTGCCTGTCCCCTGACACGCAGAGTAGTCAACATTGATGTCCTTCACTCTTCGGTTTGGGTCTGTGACCTTGTTTGATTTCTAGCACCATCAGATGCTCTGCCGTCGTGTTGATACCCCAAATTCTCTCTAGATCCCAGGCTTCATCATATTTGTCTGGTGGGGACCGCCTCTCTCTCTCTCGCTTAGCCTTCGATGCAGAGCGCATATCGATCGCCTGCACGCGGGCACTTCTCACGCTTCCTTCCACCTTGGTCCAATCAGCGAGATGCGCTATGCACAGCACTCTGTCGCACAAATAACCCTGACGTCACAGCCAGTCGGAAAAGATTGTGTTTTGATTGCCAAGGCCTAACTCCTCCCATCTTATGCGCTATCGCAGTGCAGACTGGTATTGATGAATCTCGTTGTTTTGAATGCCGGAGTAAATCACATTTGCTGTTGACAGCGCAAAACAGTAGAAGTATTCACTTCCACCAAATTCAGTGTGCACACCTTAGTCAGCAGCTGACAAGCGCCTAAAGAAAATCTTATGTCAAACCCGAAGTGAGGAGATGGTTAACCGCTGATTACTGAATTCGGAATTCTGGTAAATACTCGAATTTAAGAATCCGTGTCAAATGTATGCACATTTGCCAGGAAAGTAGGCTGTTAGAGCCTCGAAACGTTGGAAATGCATTTAACGAGACGAAGTCCCTGGATAACTGACAGATATTTGGTGCATTCAAGGATTTTTCTTGTGATTTTAATGACACCGGGATCAGACATCTTACAAAGAGCATTCCCAGCCTCCTCAGTACGCTTCATATAGTTTAAAATAACACATAACCACAGAATTCTCTCGAAGCATACCTTGAATTGTCTGGTCGACAAAATTGTTCTTAATGCATCCAAAACCCTCTGGTACGTTTGCAGCCTCCCATTAACGAGCCCAGCATGCGGTTTCTCAAAGTGAGCACTTCGGTTTGTCCACCAGATGGAATTGACGGTGCTGACCCCAAACACAACTACGACCTCGTCGTCATTGTGAAATCAGCCGTCTACAACTTCGAGGACAGACAAGCCTTTCGCAGATTCTACGCCCACCTGAGAAAGCAAAGCAGCGTTACACCACACTATCGCATAGGAGTAGTGTTCGTGGTGGGCCTGCCCACAAGCGCAAGCAGCAATTCATTCCAGCGCGATGGTTTCAACATCTCACTGCCCGGTCGCGCCGGCAACTCGCTCGTCAACATTGGAAACCGCCGCGCCCAGATTCGAAGTCGCCTAGAGCAGGAGATGCGTGAACAGGTTGATCTCATCGTGGGCGACTTCGAGGACACCTACTACAATCTGTCTCTGAAAATGCATCACACATTCGTGTGGGCGGCCAGGTTCTGTCGCGCACGTCCTGCCTTCATGTTCCTCGACGACGACATTGGTTTTAATGAGAAGCGCCTGCAGGCTGTACTGGCCACTCTGCCGGTGGATTGGCGGCGCAGAGTTTCCATTTCGAGTACTCGCTGGAATAGTCCCACAGTGCGTCCCACGGACACTCCGGCCGTCCGAAAATGGGCACTGTCGAAGCGGGAGGTTCCGTGGCCAGTTCATGCACCCTACAGCAATGGGTACTTCTACTTGCTTGGTTACGATCACGTGGCGGATCTGGCTTTGGCCATGTTCTACACAAAGCGCATTCCCATTGACGATGCGTGGTTGGGTCTGGTGATGCATAGGATTGGTCTTCAGTTCGAGTTGCCATCTGGGATCGTGTACTCCTTGAAACATCAGGAAAATGTCACCGGCTATATCGCCTTGCCCCTCCAATCTCTCCTCAGCGCATACATGCGAGGACGTCTGTAGTGGAATTTCGGTATGACGATATTCGTATCAATGGCTACCAAGCGAAATCACCCCTTACAATCCCCTTGGACATCGTCTATGTGTCCATACGACATCTCTTTCTTCTTTAGCTTATTTTTGTGCGTTAAATGCCAGAGATTTTACTGGTAATTTGCCCTATCGTTTGATAATTTATTGAAATTGTCTGAACATTCGTATGTTATCTTGGCATTCGTCCGAGTTAATTCCGCTTCTTTCGGACTTGCATATGCTTCATTACATGAATGAAATCGGCTGAGCCGTTCGTGGCATCAGGGGTGTGATCACCTGTGGCGACCGTGTTTGGGTTGGCGGTGGTGGTGGTGGTGGTTGTGGTGGTGCCCGTGATGATGGTGGTGTCCGTGGTGCCCGTGGTGGTGCCCGTGATGGTCAGTGCAGTGAGGATTGGTGCAGGAATGACGATGGAAGCGTTTTTGAAAGCAGGAAATGGAGTTGTCGTTTTCTTGTTCCATCGGGTCCGGAGATATCCGAGGAGGCGGATCCGTGCGCCCGTAGGTTCGTCCACATCGTGGGCAGGCTGGTGGGTGGGGGTTATGTTGCGGACGCTTGAGACTTGTTGTTAGTTCTTATGTCCTTGGCAGCGCTGATTCGGTTGGCTTCGTAGTCTGCTCCTTCAGGCTTCTCTGTTCTTCCCCTGTAAGCTACTTCGTGGTCGAGTTTGGTTTTGCGCGATACTGATGCGAGGGCCGCTGGTGCATGGCAACTGTTCATCCCGAATTTTGAGCAGCCTGATTTGAAGACACTCGTGGACTATTGCATATCCGTCTCTGCCGCGGTGTTGAACGTGAAGTCGCCTGTAAAGAGCAGATGGTGGGCAGTTTTGTGGAGAGAGTGAGAGGCTGGTCGTCGATCCTGTGGACGATGCAGAGCCCAGGGCGCCCATCAGAATAAGCGTCTATAGCCATGACAGAGCAGATGAGACTGAAGAGGATGGGAAGAAGGACTCAGTCCAGCATCATTTCATTGATCATTGAGGATGCTTCTGAAACGGCTCCATTGTCCGTGACGCGCGCCATCAACCTCTCAACGATCCGACGCATCGTGTACGGGAATCGCTCCGGACAGTCAAATTTCCGCATGATTTTCTGGAGACCGTCGCAAATCACTGTGCCTGATGCATTCGTCAAATCTCTCAAGGTGATGCCGATTTGGTTCATCATTTCCTAATAATCTGCCTATGATTACCGGGCGGGGAAATTCATGCCGATTGTTTCGCGATATCGTCTGAAGTCACACTGGTTTTCGGGTAAATGTCGGTGTTCCGACTAGCCGCTGAGACGATTGACAAGGGTGTGGGCGAAGATTTTTTCCACGATGTTGAGCAACAGGATGCCTTTGCGGTCATCATAGAGCTGCTAGTTCCATTTTCCTTTATATAGATGAACGACGTTTGCGTCACTGAACTCCTTGTTAACTTGTTCTTGACGCCACATCGTTCGGAGTATCGTTATAAGTTTACTTATCGTGCGGGGCAGCCAGTCTTCTAAACTACAACCGATATCGTGTAGGATTCCGGTGCTTTTATGATTATTATGGTTTCTGGTTAGGAAAGAAGGGCTGTCTAGGGTGTAGACTGTTTCCACTTGCGGGTGTCGGTCGATAACGGCCACGGAGATCCTGGATGGGCGGTTGAGGACACTGCTGAACTGCTTGGCCTAACACCTTAGAACTTGAAACTTCCCCGTCGGGAGTGTCTTTCCGTCGGCGCTGAGGAGCGGCGCCGTCCTTGTGGACCGCAGACCGCTTTCATTGATGCGAAGACGATCTCTCTTTTATTGCCGTCAGCTTACTCTTGGATTTCCTTGACTTTGTGATCCATTAGTGCATCAGGCCTCTACCACTGCACAAGGCGGTGACATCTGAAGAAGGTCACCTCTTGCGTCGGTATGAAAATCTGTTCTTCTGGACGAGTAGTTTGTTGACATGTGTGTCGTTTTTGTCAAACCATTCCTGATATTGACGACGTGCGCGATCGACTATAAGCAAGACGGTGGAGTGGACAACGTTACGCAGTCTGTACAGTGGTTTTTTGAGGTTACAATCGGAACATCACCTTTGAGATGGTGTAGCATTAATGACTGCAACCGTCGGCGTCGCAGATCGTTTTGGTCATCAGCACTTCCTGGAAGAGAACGTAGTCCAGCAGCTGCTAGCGTCGGGATGTTGGGTTTGCATCCAGGCTACACCCTCCGTCGTTGAATAACAGAAGAATGTGCTGGGTTGGAGGAGACAGTGTTTCGCGTAGGTCTGCAGAAGGAAGAGGTCGCTGTCGTTGGAGCTCCACCCCCTTCCCCTTAGGCAGCGTGGTCTGTCTCGACGGGGTCACTGAAGTCAGCAAAGACACAGGAGGAGGAGGATGAGGAGGAGGAGGAGGAGGCCGTTTTCGTTGGAGCCGCCGAGTCCATGAAGATCAGGAACTCTTCCCAATCCCCCTCCGCCCCTGAGTCAACGTGGTCTCTCTCGACGCGGGCATTGAAGTCAGCAAAGACAGTCAACTTTTCCACAGTCAGCACAGTCCCCAGGAAGGCATGTATGACGTTGTAGAATTTCTTTCTCACCCGTTTGGCGTTGGTCATTGGGCGAGTGTAGCCGGTAACGACAGCGGAGGATTTGGCTTCCCGAAGAGGCTGATGTCCTGGGAAAGAACATGGAGCCATCCCACGATTTTGATACAGACGAAAAAGGCGACGCCAGCCTCAAGTCGCTTTGGGAGACCACTCCAGAGGAAGGTGTATCCGTCACTCACCTACTCCTGTCAGTCTTGTTCGGAGAAAATGGCCTCGCTGAGGGCAGCGTTATCCAATTTGTTGCGCGTCAATTCTCGAGCGACTTATACCCCCCCCCTTTATTCTGGTCGGTTGTTCCGCGGATTTCGCAAAAGGTAATCAATATTACGGGCTGTCAGCATGAGCGGAGTCATTCTAGCAACCTGCGAGGTAGAATGGAGAGGATGGGAGCCGAGGACCGTTGTTTGTTTGGTTGTTCCGACTATGAGTAGTAGATATTTGCGAACCGCGGTCTGCGTGCGGATAACGTCTTCCCAGAATATGTTAGCCTTTCTAATACTCTGGTGGTCTGTCAACCATGACTCAAGCAGCTCGCGGCTAACGCGGTTGTCACCTCTTGCGAGATTTCCGGCCTCGTCAAATTTGCGTGTGTGGCCGGATCTCGTCGAAGGGAACGAAACTTGAGGTGTAGAGTCATTTATATGCACCGCTGCAGCATGTTCGGCCATTCGCGATTGGAGTTGCCTTCCGGTTTCTCCGACGTAGTTGCTTTGTCTGCAACTGCACCAGATCCGATAAACGACTCCAGACGTTTCTTGTCGTGGCAGCGGGCCCTTCGATTTCATTATCTGACGCCTGAAGGTTGCCTCCGATCTGTGTGCAACTCCAACCCCGAGTGGTGCGAGAAGGCGGCCGACAGCTTCCGAGACCTTCTTGACCTACGGAAGCGCTCGTCAAAATATGGTGTCCGTGCGGTTAGGCCTTTCGTCCCTTTTGCGTATGCACCGGTCGACGAAGTTGCGCGGGTAGCCATTGGCTCTGAATACCCGTCGGAGTTAGTGTAGTTCGGCAATTTTTTCTTCCGGCTCAATGCGGTGCGTTTTTACACGCCGATAGGTCGTTCTTACACAACTGCGTTTGTGGCTGATTGGGTGGTTACTGTTGAAGTTCAGTATTTGCATCGTATTTGTCGCTTTCCTGAACACTTTGGTTTTTAGTTCACCACACTCTTTGCGGCATAGGAGGAAATCAAGGAAGGCCAGCTGGTTGTTCCCTTCCTCCTCCACCGTAAATTGTATGTCCGGGTAGACCGCATTCAGATGTTCTTTGAATGTCAGCAGTTGATCCCGGTCGATAACGACGAAGGTATCATCCACATACGGGGTCCAGAACTTCGGTCTGTGGTGTTTGAAGACCGGCGACTCTAACCGTTGCAGGACCGCCTCGGCGATGGATCCCGAAATCGGCAAACTCATTGGTGTGCCCTTCACCTGTTCGTAGATTGTCCCGTCGAACGTGAAGTACGTCCTGAGACAGAACTTCAGGAGCTGAAGGACTTGGGCGCGTCCAAGGCGATTCTCCGCTTCATCGTATTTGCTTTGTAGTAGCAGCTCGATTGTCTCGATCTTGAGAGCTGGCGTCAGTTCTCAGCACTCCTTCCGCGTTTACGGCCATTCTTGTTAGGAACATTCCTTCGGTTTATCCGACGTATTTGTTTTGTCCGCAATTACACCAGATCCGATAAACGACTCCAAAGGTTTCTTTCCGTGGCAGCGGGCCCTTCGATTTCATTATCTGATGCCTGGTGGTTGCCTCCGGTCTGTGTGCAATTTTAAACCCAAGTAGCGAGAGAATGCGGCTGACAGCTTTCGAAAAGTTCTTTGACATACAGAAGGGCTCGCCAACATTTGGGGTCCGTGCGCTTTGACCTTACATGAGTCTTGGTTCACTGGCCTCCAGTCGATTAACAAGCGCAACAAACTTCCTCATCCATATTCGATCCTGATACCTAGCCTAAGCGGAGTGATGAACCACCTGGAGAAGGCATAAGTAAACACTGCTCTCAACGCCAGGGTCGGTGGGCCAGATGGTTCAGCTGTCATCACACCAATATCCAACACCCCTGATGAAATGGCAGCAAACAACTACGCGAATATCGGCCATTGAACAGTCATCACACCAAGTGTAACGATCCATGATGAAGGGGGGGGGGACGTGAATCTTCATAGGTATGCGGTAGCATGGCGACTGCATGAACCACCCGTATCTGCTATTGCCTCTGATGATGGGTTCGAGCAGGAATCCGAAACGTCAGGCTTATAAAACTCTTGTCCCATTGATTGTGTCTCCTTTTCACGACTGCTTTTTAGGACTCGTCTCGTCGCCTCTACTGTCAATGCAGTGCCGTCTCTAAGTAGAATTACTGAGACGTCTCCGACGGCTGCCGAACCGTACTGTGGGTCACGCCTTGGCACAATGGGAGAGCGGCCTAAGATACCCTAAGCGATCTATGGGCTTTTTGAGACAAGGGTATGGCTTGTGCCCGGGTCAGCGACAGTTTAATCTGAGGAGCCTGTCTAACGGGAATGATGGTACTAGGGTTATACGGGTGGGATCTTCGGTCGCCCGAAGAGCAATTCGAAAAACTACAAGGCGAAGAAAAGTAGAACTACATCTAACACCTACTAATGCGCTTGGAATGTAAGCAGTAAGTAGATGCAAAGATTCGAAAAACTACACCAAAATGGTAGTCAAGGAAATTCGGGTAACTGAATAAACCGCCGTCAACTGAGCAACGGAAGCTCAGGTTCCAAGGCGAATAACAATCAATGGCAATTGGTCGCAGGCGTTAATCGAAGGTGCAAACAGCGTCAATTGTGAGCTATACCAGGAGACGAAATAACTGTCAGAAATTGACAACAAAGCTAAACAAAGAACAGGGACGAAGTATAACAAGGTAAGCTAAATGGCAGTCGGAAGGAATAAAAAGAAAAGGAAAGTTAAGAGGCGTAGCTTACAAATAGATGTATACAGTAGGTGGGCTGACAGTTGAAATGTAAACCGAAATTCTGAAATGCGTTTTCGTTTCGAAAATATTAATCAAGTAGGGTTGTAACACTAATCATAATGCAGCATACTTCTATAATAATTCAGGACGCCGGCAGCCGCATAGAAAACTATACTCTGTAAAATATTACTGCTTATGTAGCATGTATTTTTTTCATTGAGTTTCGGTGTCCTTGAAAATTAAATTATATTTTATTAAAAGCATGCATAAGATATTCATTTCCTTACACATTCGGTAGAAAACGACGTTTTCATTAAGTATTATGCTTTATGGAAAGGTATAATTCGGTTTTAAAAAACTTTTCCAATTTCCGTATAATTTTGAACTCGACCTGCCGTTGCACTTGCATTCAGGGTTTAAAAACTGAAAGCCTATATTTCCCCTGTACGGATAACCATGCATTTCTCTACGTATTTAGGAGAGACCTCATGGGGTTCATAAAAGTTAACAGTGGATTTGAGCCACATTGTTAACTTTACAAGCCCTATTGGAAAAGGCAGAGATATGACGATTTCTTAAGGGCCATTTTACGGTATTTAGAAGTTCCACAATTAGAAACTTTCTCAAAACCGAATTATATCCCTACTTCGAGTGTAGAAGTGGAAGCAGATATTATTTTCTACCGAATAAGTAATAAAAGTCTGACTAAAAAACAAGTCATTGGCATACTTTAAACTGTCACATAGGCTACGTTTGTGGAGGAGTTCCTTTCGACGCCTTTAAAACCTGAGGTATCAGAAGGAACTTCTCCCGGCTCCAAAAAGACAACACATATCAAAAAATTCATTTAACTGCCTTCCAAGGTAGCTAGAACACAAGTCGACATTTGATATTTTAGGAAGATCGATGATAGTATTATTTGCAGAAATCCGAAGCAGACAAGTATTTTTTGGGAAAGTGTGGTGAACCATTTTTCCTCTCGGATCTGATTGTCAAAGCGCACTTAGAAGTGGAGTAAATTTTTGGAAGGCCTAATAGGACAGACTGAACTGATCAAAAGAGCAGAGGTCCATTTTGAACATGAAAAAAGATGAAGCGGGTAATTAAAATGTGACTGAGGGGAACGCTTGTCGGATATTGAGGGAACAAGGTTGGGGGGTGAAAGGTGACACAGTCAAAATCGCCGCATAAAAGTAGAAGTTGCTCTCAAGACAATAAAACAGTTTTTTTCGAAAGAAAGTCATATAGCCTAGTTGCGTCACCTTCACGGGTAGAGAGCGAGTATAGGTGTTAACAAATATGCTGTATTTAAAGACTATTGAACAAACAGACCTGGCATGTTACAGCAATAAAATTTATCGATTCATCAAAGTATGAAAACAGGAGCTTGTAGCTTCGCAGCAGTGTTATTTGGTGAAAATATCCAGCGTTTTTCTTAAATGGTTTTACATTTCTTGATGGAAACGTGAAAGTGGTAGCAGGGAAGGATGGTAAATACAGCGTATTAGTCACAAAGTGCAACTGTTAGCATCGCGGACAGTCGTCTGTGAATCGGTACGGAATTCGCGCAAGCTTTTAGTCCTTTCAAAATGTGGCCAGCCCCCTGCACGGATGACTTCCTGATTGTAATTCAGGTAAATAAACCTACAGAAAAGATATGTATATTTCGAGTTAGACGTGCAGATACGAAACCCCCACCTGAATGGGGAGCATAATTAAGTGCGGCTTAAATTCAAAAGCCCACCGATTTCCGATCATTGCGTCCGAATCAACCTCGGGTAGTCCTGACCGTGCATCTCCAAGGGGTGGGCTAAGGAGGAGTTAGCGCGACGGGCGCTGCGCAAGTCGTTGTTCTGCGGCCTCCACGCCCTGGTACACACGGTGGGCATCGCCGTTGGCAGTACTTGAACTGACAGGTGTGTTTTTACGCTGCATGCCATTCGGTAGCAGTCAACTGATGCTCGGGTTAGTCATCTCAACTCGGACATCCTCCAGCGACAAATCATTTGCAGAGAATGGGGCTTCCACTTCAGGGCATCCGATCAGATCAGATTTATTAAGGGAATGTAGGCCTTTGAACTCCCTTTTGGTTACAGTAACGTCATAAACAACAAGTGTCAAAGAAAAGTAGGTAAGTAATTAC